AAACTCTTTTGTCTCCTCCTCCCATGCTCATCTCAAGGACTTCTCCAGAGCCTCTCCCATACTCTGGAATGCTCTACCTCAATCTTTCTGTCTGTCTCCTATTCTGGCTGCCTTTAAGGGATCCCTGAAAACTCCTCTGTTCAGAGAAACCTATCATGCTTCCAGCTAACAACTGATCTTTTAACTCATCCATCAGCTAATCCCCCAAAGTTATTACCTTTTATACTGCATGTCCCTGTACAGTATTTATGCCTTTAAAGTGCACTTTATTAAGAGTTTTGAACAGATAAAATACTTTTTTTTACTTTTTTCTGACCTCCACAACGGATTAAGTAGTTTTCAATGCATTCCTATGGGAAACCGCGTTTCGGTTTACGAATATTTTGCAATACGAAAAGTCCCGCAGAACGCTTTAAATTCGTAAACCAAGGTACGCTTGTACAAAATGGGAATTTGAGGTGAGGAACTCCATGGGTCCCCCTACTGGTGAACCAATTGATCACACCACCACACACTTTCCCCTAGACACAAATTGCTATCAAAGAGCTAGCTGAATGCATCTAATGTGTCATAAACAGCGGAATAAATACCTAAAATCTACAGAATTAGAAAAATAAGAAAAAAAAGAGGAAGATAAAAAAAATAAAATTAAAAAGTAAGAAAAATAAAATACAATGAAATTAAAAATCAGTGATAAAACAATTCACATCCATCTCGATACTGAGACCCCCTAGGTGCCATAGTGCCCCTATAATATATCCACTGAGATTCATTACTTGAGGCTTGCCTCATGTTAGTTCCACGCCAGTGTTTTTCCACCCGGTCTATGCCACAAAATTTTAGTGATCCTTATGATGTGTTCTGAAATGATTGGATAAGCTATAATGGCGGAAGCCCTTTTTAATATTGCCAATATGTTCTCTATCCCTGGCCATGCGGCATCTCCTGCATGGTGGGGGTTGAGGAAAGACCTGGCAACCTACCCTGTAAAATAATTGCTAAGAGAATTCATGGAAAAAGTTGCTTACGAGTGACGGTCCATGCAATCGCCAAGGGTCAGATACGACTGAAATGGATAGATAGATAGATAGATAGATAATAGATAGATAGATAGATAGATATGAATAGATACATACATACATAGATAATAGATAGATGATAGATAGATAGATAGATAGATAGATAGATATAGATAGATAGATGATAGATAGATAGATAGATAGATAGATAGATAGATAGATAGATAGATAGATAATAGATAGATAGATAGATAGATAGATAGATAGATAGATAGATAATGATAGATAGATAGATAGATAGATAGATAGATAGATAGATAATAGATAGATAGATAATAGATAGATAGATAGATAGATAATAGATAGATAGATAGATAGATAGATAGATAATAGATAGATAGATAGATAGATAGATAGATAGATAGATAGATAGATAGATAATAGATAGATAGATAATAGATAGATAGATAGATAGATAATAGATAGATAGATAGATAGATAGATAGATAGATAGATAGATAGATAGATAGATAGATAGATAGATATAGATAGATAGATAGATATAGATAGATAGATAGATAGATAATAGATAGATAGATAGATAGATAGATAGATAGATAGATAGATAGATAGATATGTTCTCTAAGCCTGACCGTACGTTCCCTTGTAGTCCTACCCACGCATTGTAATCCACAACTGCACCACAAAAGGTAGGTGATCATGTCTAATACATTTTTTTATTTCATATCTCCTTCCTGTGTTATTAGATTGGAAATCAGTGATCTTTTATGGTTCTGCATATCATACATTTGCCACATTTAATAAAAAACAAAACCTGGGTGATCCAAACAAGTTTCCCTTTTGATAGATGAATCAGGTGCACTTTTTACTATTTTATCTCTCAGTGTGGGTAGGCGTTTGTAAACAACATGGGGACGTTTAGGGAGAACCTTGGCTAATGTTTGATCTTTCATCACAATAGGCCAATGTTTTATCAATGCCCTTTCAATCTGTTTATACTGTCTGTTGTACGTGGTACAGAAGGTCATACTATAATCTACTTTTTGTTTAGTTGACGTTCTTAGTAACGCCTTGCTTGACCCTTTTTTTGTCTTTTCCGGCTCAGATATTTTTTAATAGCCTTTCTGCATAAATCTGGTCATCAATACATCTACCTGCACCTCAAAATCAACTTCTAGGTAACAATTTCTGTTGATTCTTATCATTTGACCTTTGGGAATAGCCCCCAACCATCTAGGGTGGTGTCCACTATTTGTTGGGATATAGCCATTTTGATCTGTGGCTTTAGAGAAAGTAAGGGGTATACAATCTACCTCCTTTGATATACATTATTTTAATATATTGGCCGATTATGGTTGTGACGGGAGTCACTTTGGGTGGGGGGTCCATGGAACGCAGCTCACTTTGGAGAGGTGGGGAGACCCCTGTCTCAGCTCCCCATATCCCTCTTATGTGTAAGTCACCCTGTGCCTGTTAGAGGTACAGGGTGATCTGTCCTAATATTGTGCAGACATGTCTTGGAGATAGGTGGGGTGGGGGGTTGTGGATTGTTTGGTGTTATGTGGTTGCATCCCATTGTTCTATTGTGTGTTTTGCTTGGGAGCAAACTATTATGGGATGTATGTGTTTATGTGTATTAGCTTAGTGGGGGGGGGGGGGGGTCTCCAGCAGCCCTCCCTCCTGATGGGACTGTCTGCTGGTGTGAAGTTTGAATACCTGTGTGTCTCTTGTTACTAAATGTAGATTGCCCCCCCTGTGTCATTATGCAGGGAGGAGGATTGTCCCCTGAGTGTATATATCTTGTATCTGTGTTAAAATAAACTAGTCTACTTTCTGGATTACTTCAAGACTGGCGACGACTAGTCTTGTATTGTAGGCTGTGGTCGGTGTTCGGACGGGAAAGCGGTAGTCTAACAGAAGTACCCAAGTGCAGTCTGAGGTCGGTTCCGTTTCATTGGTTTTATTAATTTTGGGATAATTGGTTTTTGTACAGTTTAGATTTTTCAATAAAGTGTTTCTATTGTGGTATTGGTGCGTGTTTAGCCACTCATTGGTATTTCATCTCTTCCTAAGGATCTATAATAATGTTCACATATTGAGGTTGAGCTTAAGTTTGGCTTTTATGGTTTTCCTTCCGATATAAATATGTACCAACTGCTCCCTCGTTTCTATTCATTATCATTTTTTTCTTTTCTTTTGGGTTGAATGCCCTTGTGGGATATATACCCCAGAGTTCTTTATTTATAGGAGTGTATAATTATAGTATTTCAATACAATTAGCATTTTAGTATAATATTTATTATTTTTTTTATCTTGAGGACATGTTATTGTAATTTTTTATTTTGCCTGGTATGTCCACCAACGTCCAGGTCCTATCCAATATTCCTGTTTACCAACTTTCCTCAAGCTCTCATTTGTGGCATTTGATAATAAAGCACGAGTCTATACAAAAAAATCATCCCTTGCTTGCCAGAGTTTTCCTGTCTTTCTCTGACTGGGAAGGAATTACTGGGAGACACGGTTCCTTCTCAGTGATTAGTTTTCAGGCCCCTTTCATATCTTTCTTGCTAATATAAGGAGTACATGTCTCCAATCATGCTTGGACACCTCAAATTAAAAGGTAGGATTTTTTTTTTGTGCTGCAGTCCTGAATGTATTAAAGCCTGAAGCACCGGCTTCATAAAAGTGATGGATTTATGCCATTAGACACAGTCACAGACGATACTATCAGACCCAGTCAGCAATATAGTATTTAATAAAATTTGTACCTAATGACTTTAATGAGCTCTGTCACTTGAAGATTCCCAGTCTATATGACACACTCCCAAGCTGCAGGAAACACTAGAACTTTGTTTGGCCAGTCCTACTGATCATCTATTTTCAGTTACCTACATTTGATCCACCTCATGGTTGTGGCAACGTTTGAGCTATCTTCTCCGGGTTGTTCCCTGTTCCGATTCCAGACTTGTCCTGATCTTGGCAAGCAGCTTGGTTCTTGTCACCTTGTGGTCTGTTCTAACCTTTTCAACCTTGTTTTGCCTTTGACTCTGCCACAGGGCTTCCTCTTGTTGACCTCAGCCTTCCTATGGTGGTGCTCACCTCCCTACGGTTCCCAGAAGGGTGCTCCTGAAGATCAAGGCCTGGATCCATAAGTCGGCCACCTTTTGTTCCTCCTGTGCCTAATGTGTTTCATGCCTACCACTATTGCCACTGGTATCCCTACTCATCCAATCCTGGTCCACCTGATACAGTAGATCTTCTCTACCCTGTCATCTTCTATCAATCACACTACGCTTTTGGAGATCAGGTACCGTGTTTTCTCAATCTGTAATTGAACTAGACCTAACTCCATCTATTATGACTGGGAAAGGATTAGGTAGAGAGATTTTCACTTACTTCCCAAACCATCTGACACTTGTCACCTGGACAGGAAGTGAGGGAAATCCCCCCAATGGGAACAAAGACAGTCATGTAAGCAAAGGTTCTAACTCTTCCCAATCAAAAGTATATATTCATTGTTGTCTTTGTCCACATTGAGATTTGTGTATTAGAAAATTACATAGTGATTATTAAATATTGTGTTCCAAAGGTGACAGCTCTTACATCATTTGCTGACAATTTGTGCTCAGGAATTGTTCTGCTTTCCATAGTCTATACCAGCATTTCTCAACCTTTTTACCAGGGAGGAACCTTTGAGATATATCAGGACCCGGGCCCCCCTACTAATAATGACTATATCTACATTTCACAGTACAGGAAGTCGAGATATAGGTACAAATAAAAAATAAAGGATGTGGCATACTTGGTGTATTTGCCATTTAGGGCCACTCTATACAACACCATCATTTTTAATATTAATAGTGAAATTAAATTAATACTAATATTAATGGCAAGAAAACAAAAATTTACCTTGGTTGTCAGTGGGATAAATGCTCCCTGGATTAGTGATCAGTGGGAAGAATGGCCCTTACATTGGTGGTCAGTGGAAGGAATAGCCCATACATTGGTGGTCAGTGGGAAGAATGTCCCTTACATTGGTGGTCAGTGGGAAGAATGCTCCTTACATTGGGAGTCAGTGGGAAGAATGCTCCTTACATTGGGAGTCAGTGGGAAGAATGTCCCTTACATTGGGGGTCAGTGGGAAGAATGCCCCTTACATTGGTGGTCAGTGGGAAGAATGTCCCATACATTGGGGGTCAGTGGGAATAATGTTCCTACATTGGAGGTCAGTGGGAAGAACGTCCCTTACATTGGGGGTCAGAGGGAAGAATGTTCCATACATTGGTGGTCAGTGGAAGGAATGTCTCTTACATTGGTGCTCAGTGGGAAGAATGCCCCTTACATTGGTGTTCAGTGGAAGGAATGTCCCTTACATTGGTGCTCAGTGGGAAGAATGTCCCTTACATTGGGGTTCAGAGGGAAGAATGTTCCATACATTGGTGGTGAGAGGGAAGAATGACCCTTACATTGGTGGTCAGAGGGAAGAATGTTCCATACATTGGTGGTGAGAGGGGAAGAATGACCCTTACATTGGTGGTCAGTGGAAGGAATGTCCCTTACATTGGTGCTCATTGGGAAGAATGACCCTTACATTGGTGATCAGTGGGAAGAATGCTCCTTACATTGGTGGTCAGTGGGAAGAATGTTCCTTACATTGGTGGTGAGAGGGAAAAATTCTCCTTACATTGGTGGTCAATAGGAAGAATGCTCCTTACATTGGAGGTCAGTGGGAAGAATGCTCCTTACATTGGCGGTCAGAAGGAAGAATGATTCTTACATTGGCGGTCAGTGGGAAGAATGTCCCTTACATAGGTGGTCAGAGGGAAGAATGACCCTTACATTGGAGGTCAGTGGGAAGAATGTCCCTTACATTGGTGGTCAGAGGGAAGAATGTTCCTTACATTTGTGGTCAGTGGGAAGAATGTTCCTTACATTTGTGGTCAGTGGAGAAGGAGGAGGACACACTGAAGGAGCTCTCCCAGAGAACCAGCGTTTTCAAGCCTGGGCCTTGCCTGCTAGCTTGGCCCAGGAACCATGCCTGATCCAGGGGGAGGCCCTGGGAGGGATTCCCCTGATGAGACCGGGCCTAGTGAAGAGGAGGAGGTGGAGGACCTGACTGTGGGTCCCGGCCCTGGTGAGGATGTCAATGTCTTCAGACAGAAGATTATTGATAGATTTGTGACTATTGGAAGAGCTGAGGAGAAACTTAATGTTTTGAAATCTGAACACAAAACCTTCAGAGCCAAATACTGCCAGGCCTGGAGCAAGAACAGATTGGGCATGAAGCCAGCGCTCCAGCACATGGAGGAGAAAGTGAAGAAACAATCTTTATTATTAGAAAAGCTGAAAACAAGAAGTGGAGCATTTAAAGAAAAATTTGAAAATGAGAGGAGATTTGCCAGCCAGACATCAGCGAGCTCTGTGGATCAGCAGCCTCAGGTAATGGATGACCCGGCTCCATCTACATCAGCGTCTCTCCCCCCATGTCAGGCTGAGGAGTTGTCAGTAGCAACCAGCCAGGGGGTTGAGGGTGAATATGGAACCCTGAAGTTCATTCAGCAAATGGAGTCACCCCTGAGAGCAGACAAGTTTGCCTTCACTGATGACCCTGCAGAAGTCCCTGAAGATGAACAGAGGAGGTACAGACTGGCAAAGCCAAGACTGGTGGAGAAAGCCCAATACACCAACATGGCTGCTCCCAGCATGTCTGCCCCACCTGCTGTGGTGAGTACTGTGGATGAGGAGCTCTGCAAGCAGCCTGCTGTGGAGGAATCCTCAGCCAACCTGGAGGAAAAATCCCTGGCAGAGAGGTCTCCAGACCATCAGGGGAATGTGGGTGAACCTGCACCAAGCACCCCACAGATGGAAATTGCTGCTGCTGTTCCTGCTGAGACCAGTAGTCCCTCTACAGGCAAGATGGCTGCCACCTGCAGAGAGACTGTTTCACCTGAGCTCCCAGGTGCTCCAGAGCTGATTGATGCTGGTGGGGGAGGGGAGCAGCACACTGCACAACATGGAGAGCAAACAGCAACACATGGATGTCTCACTTGTTGCTGTGTCTGAGAATCCAATCCAGTCCTGGGCTGAGTGTCCTTTCTTGGAGCAAGAGATGACTGCTGGAGCTTCTATGGTTGCAGCAGTGAGTGTGGACATTGCTGTGAAGTCTATGACTGTTGAGACTGCTAAAGCAATGGATGTGTTGGTGGTGGGTGGAGGTGAAGGGGTTAACGTTGCTGACAGAGGTAAAAATTACATTTCTCCCCCTGCTGAGCAGAAAGAGGATACACCATCCAATCCCGGATTTGTGCAATCGGTATCTGCCAGAGTTGCACCAGACGCTCCCAGACACACAAATGTTTCTGCTGCTGGGAGGATTGGGGGGAGCTATGCTTCTGTTTTGGGGAGTCGCACCAAGGGGGGTGGGGGTAGTGTTGGGAATGTTAATGGTCACAATTTGGGGAGGTTTGGTGGTGGGATGGTTGGTGGGGTCAGGAGAAGGAATGTGGTACAGTTGAAGTGGGAGGGGGAAGGGAAACCCACCAGTAAGGGGGAGGGTGGCAGAGTTGATTCTGGAGATGGGGTTTAAAGCCTGTGATGTGTTTGCATTGATCTGCCCAGTAGGCAGCTATGAATACGATTTGTCGTTTGTAAAACCTGAAGGCCTGGACCTGTTTTGGGAGAGATATAGGAGGTGCAGGAGCCTTCAGCAGTGGAGAGGTTTGGTGGCAAAGGTGGTTTCCAGACAGCCTTTGATAAAATCGGTGACAATCCTGGTCCGGAATGAATCCATACCAGAGGCTGATTTGGTAGTTTGGCTACGCCGACATGGTGAGGTCCTCACCCCACTGCGGAAGGTCCTGGATGAGCATAGGATATGGACAGGGGCCTGGACAGTGTCAGTGCAATTGAGGGTGCTGGGCAATGTGGTTCAGCATCTTCCCTGCTCAGCCTTTCTGGGGAGGGATAGGCTGACCATTTTCTATCAAGGTCAGCCTAAAGTTTGTAACAAATGCGGAGAGAAAGGTCATTTTGCATCATCCTGCACCATCAAGAAGTGCTCACTATGCCAGGATTTTGGCCATTTGGCCAAAGAATGCACCGAGATTCGGTGTAATTTGTGCCAGCAGCTGGGTCATCCATATAGTCAGTGCCCAGAGGCACTACACAACCTGCCAGGACTAGAGGCTGAGCTGCAGAGGCTGGATAAAGAGGATGAGGCAGCTGATGCTAGGGAGGAAACTGTTGTTGCCCCTCCTGTGTCTGTTCCCTCTGTTGTGTCAGATTGTGTTTCCCCCAGTAATGTCACCCCTGAGTCTGTCCCTCCTGTCCCTAATCCTACCGTACGTAGATCCTCCAGACTGGCGGAAGCTGCTGGGGGGGCGGGTTTAGCGGATCTTCCCTCTCGGCCTACTCCATCTCTGGTACCTGTCCCACAACAGCGCAAACGTGGTCAGGAGGTTGTGGGGTTGCTGGATGGGGGTGGAGCTGATGGGGGGGCTCAGGGAGGGGTGTCCATGTCCCATGTCTCACCTCCTGCTGAGGGGGATTCGGCTGATGAAGGGTGGGAGAGGGTGAAGGAGAAGAAAAAGAAGAGGAGGAGGATGAGAAGAACTGTCCTTTCTTCTTCAGAATCAGACCCAGAAGGGGTCCCTCTTGGCAACACCTATTCAGTTTTGTCAGGTGATGAGATGGTATCTGATATCCATTTCTCTATCATCTATGGATGAGGGGGAGTCACATACTCTGAAGAGATCTGTTTTGGGTGATGAGAGTGTGGTAGAGGTTAAGAAACGACTACCCCAATCATCCTGATGGCAGTTCCCACTCTGTTAAAGGTGGCGACCATTAATGTCGCCAGCATTAAATCTGCAAGAGCTCGTGATACGGCCTTATTTTTGCTCAGCGAGTTTGATGCTGAGATTTTATTTTTGCAAGAGACCTGGCTCAATACATTGGCCGATGTCTATCTAGCAAAAAGGGAGTGGAGATGTGGTCCCTCCTTTTGGTCTCTTGCGGCTGAACCTTGCAGGGAGTTGCGGTCCTTTTTAAAACCGATATGGTAACGTGCCGGCGGGTAATTGAGGTAGAAATGGGGAGATGCATGGTCTTAGACGTCTCTGTTAGGGGGCAGGACCTGCGCCTGATCAATATCTATGGACCGCAGTCAAAATGGGGCAGGAAATGCCTCCTCACAAAGATCAAGCCCTTCCTTTTTACGTCCCAGCAGGTTGTCTTTGGAGGTGACTTTAACACCATAATTAGGCCTGAAGACAGGAGAGGCTCCATAGACAGGTTGGGTTATGATAGCATTTTTCTCAGAGATTTGGTTAGACAGGCAGGCCTGGTAGATGTGCACATTAAGCACTGCCCTGGCAGCACGGGGTTCACATTTCAGAGAAGGAATAGTCAGAGCAGGAAGACAGGTTTTTTTTAAAGGAGAACTCTGCATTCTCGGCTCCTGAGTTTAAGGCGGTGGAGTTCTCTGACCAATGTATGCTGTCTGTGACTCTGAATGCCTCGGACACTCCACCCAGGGGAAGGGGTGTCTGAAAACTGAATTCGGCTCTCCTGAAAGATGTAGAGGTAAGACAATCCTTTGAGGATTTTTTTCAGGCACAGGTTTCTATTCTGGACATTTGCAGCAGTAAGTCAGAGTGGTGGGAGCTTGTGAAACAAAGGGCGATTGGACTTTTCAAGGCCATAAGTAAGAAGAAGCAGCTTGGTATGTATATTGCCTACCAGCATTTGCGGAGGAAGCTTGATCGTCTTGTCTCATATGGAGGAGATCCAGGGGAGATCTCTGAAGTGAAGCTTCTTCTCAGGAAGAGTCAATACGACCGGCATGCCTCCTTGGTTCTGGAGAGGGATTATGGGAAATATCACTCACCTGATCCTTACCAGAACTGTAAGCAAGGCATAGCAGTTAAGACGGTCATTGGCCTGAAAGACAGTACGGGTTCCCTGATAAAGTCCAGATCAGGAATCTTGGAGATCTTTGGGTCGTATTATGCAGACCTCCTGGGAAGAAAGGACCTTAGCCGGGACAGGATGGAAAGCTTTCTGGATTCTACTCCAGGATTGGGAAATGGTGCATTGCTTTTGATGAATTTAACAGAACCAATTTCAGCGGATGAAGTAGTTCATGCTATAGACAAGCTGGCTACCAAAAAATCGCCTGGGCCAGATGGATTGACAGCTGAATTTTACAAGTGTTTTAAGTCCATTCTGGCTCCCTTTTTAGCGGAGGTTTTCAACAGCTGTCTAGAAGAGGGTTCGCTCCCTCCCTCCATGAGGCAATCCGCTGTGATTCTTCTGTCAAAAGGTAAAGACCCCTCAATGATTGAGAACTGGCGCCCCATCAGTCTTCTCAATGTTGATAGAAAGATCTTGGCAAAGATTCTTTTTTGGCGCTTGTCGTCAGTAGCAGGCGATTTGTTGTCCAGCCATCAGCACTGTTCGGTCCAAGGTAGAAGTACCTTTTCAGCGGTTTTGGCTATCCGGGAGGCTTTGGACGATGCAGGGCTTCTGGATGGAGAAAGTACTTGCTGGCATTGGATCAGGCAAAAGCTTTTGATCGAGTGAATCATGAATATCTGTGGTTGCTGCTTGGTAGATACGGCCTGCAGGGGAGGTTTATAGATTGGCTGAAGAAATTATATAAAGGGGCTGAGAGCTTTCCACTTGTTAATGGCTGGGTTGGACGGCCTTTTGAGGTTGGCTCTGGTGTGCGCCAGGGATGTCCTTTGAGCCCCCTGCTATATGCTTTCGCAATCGACCCCTTTGTAAGAAGGCTAGAGGGCGCATCGTTGTGCGGGGTGCCTCTGGGCATTGCTGGTGTGCCGCCTTTGAAGGTCGTTGCCTATGTTGATGATGTGTCTGTTATTATCTCTGGGACTGAGGAGGCGCAGGAGGTGGTCTCTGTGATAGAGCAGTACACGGAGGCTTCTGGCTCTAAAGTCAACCATGAAAAGAGTGAAGTTTTCTGGATGGGTGAGGAGGGTGAAAGCTTCGAACTTCCGGATGCCTTCCCAGAGCCCCAGCAGGAAATTAAAATTTTGGGGATCAAATTTGGTCCTTGTGACTATGGTCATCGAAACTGGGAAAGCAGGTTGGTAGATGCCAATGCCAAAGTAGCAAGCTGGAATAGATGGAGGCTTTCCTTGAGAGAGAGGGTTGACTTGATCAAAACTTACCTGATCCCGATCTTTTTATATGTCAGCTTCGTCTGTATCTTGCCGGTATCTCTCTATGCAAGGGTCTACAGCTGTTTTTTCCAACTGTTATGGGGAAATAGGCTGAACCTGATCAAACGCAATGTAACTTACCTGTCCAGACGGGAGGGTGGCCTAGGAATGGTCAACCCGATAGTTTTCTTTTCTTTGCTCTTTTTAAAGTACAATCTTGGTAATATGTAGAGATGAGCGAATCGAACTTGGCGAAGTGGAATTCGTTTCGAATATTAGGAAAAATTTGATTCGCATCGAATCCGAAAATTAGCAAATTTCGGATGCACGAATCGAATTTTTCCCAATCGGCCGATTTTCATCCCTTCTACAGCCGGCAAAAAGTGTCCCTGCAGAGAGCTCCACTATTTCTGACAGTTCTCTGACAGTTCCTTCACATTTACAGCGGTTGAAACATTGTATCTATTTGTTTCCATTTAGGATACAGATGTTTTTATTCGGAAACAAATAGATACAATGTTTCAACCGCTGTAAATGTGAAGGAACTGTCAGAGAACTGTCAGAAATAGCGGAGCTCTCTGCAGGGACACTTTTTGCTGTACTGGAATTCTTCTTATTTTCATTTCTTCTTCTTCTTCTTATTTTCATTCTTCTTCTTCTTCTTATTTTCATTCTTCTTCTTCTTCTTATTTTCATTCTTCTTTTCATTCTTCTTCTCCTTCTTCTTTTCATTCTTCTTCATTCTTTTTCTTATTTTCATTCTTCTTCTTCTTCTTCTTTTCATTCTTCTTCTTCTTATTTTCATTCTTCTTCTTCTTATTTTCATTCTTCTTCTTATTTTCATTCTTCTTCTTCTCTTCTTTTCATTCTTCTTCTTTTCATTCTTCTTCTCCTTCTTTTTTTCATTCTTCTTCTCCTTCTTTTCCTTCTTCTTTTCCTTCTTCTTCTCCTTCTTCTTCTCCTTCTTCTTCTCCTTCTTCTTTTCATTCTTCTTCTTATTTTCATTCTTCTTCTTCTTCTTATTTTCATTCTTCTTATTCTTCTTATTTTCATTCTTCTTATTCTTCTTATTTTCATTCTTCTTCTTCTTATTATTTTCATTCTTCTTATTCTTCTTCTTCTTATTTTCATTCTTCTTATTCTTCTTCTTCTTATTTTCATTCTTCTTCTTCTTCTTCTTTTCATTCTTCTTCTTCTTCTTATTATTTTCCTTCTTCTTATTTTCATTCTTCTTCTTCTTCTTCTTATTTTCATTCTTCTCTTCTTCTTCTTATTTTCATTCTTCTTCTTCTTCTTATTTTCCTTCTTCTTCTTCTTCTTATTTTCCTTCTTCTTCTTATTTTCCTTCTTCTTCTTCTTATTTTCCTTCTTCTTCTTCTTTTCTTCTTCTTCTTCTTCTTATTTTCCTTCTTCTTCTTCCTCTTCTTCTTCTTCTTCTTATTTTCCTTCTTCTTCTTCTTATTTTCCTTCTTCTTCTTCTTATTTTCCTTCTTCTTCTTCTTCTTATTTTCCTTCTTCTTCTTCTTCTTCTTCTTATTTTCCTTCTTCTTCTTCTTCTTCTTCTCTTCTTTATTTTCCTTCTTCTTATTTTCCTTCTTCTTATTTTCCTTCTTCTTATTTTCCTTCTTCTTCTTCATCCTCATCCTCATCTTCTTCTTCATCTTCTTCTTCATCTTCATCTTCATCTTCTTCATCTTCATCTTCGTCGTGCCCCGTGACTGCCGAAATGAGTGAAGTGTGCGGTGATTCTAAGATCGACGGCACTCATCTGCATGTCATACTGACTGACAGTATTATTTCTCTTCCCCAGCAGACTCCAAGGGCATTTAAATTAAAGGTACAGTGTTCTGCACTAATATAAAGGCTCTCTGAAGCCTAGAAACCCTTTTAATAAGTTAAATTCGCAGCGAATAAATTCGAATCGAATTTATTCCGCAAATTCGGCGAATCAGCCGAATCGAATTTTTGAATAATTCGCTCATCTCTAGTAATATGTTAGCAGAGACCCCGCCGGGATGGGTGGGTATTTTTCAGTCTTGGTTTAGGCCTTTTCTGCATTGCTGGGAAGATGGCGGCCCAGTGAAAAGTCTGAGAGTCCGACATGGCAAGCTCCCGGCTTATGTTGCCCCGTGTCTGAAAATACTTCGGCAGTGGCAGGTGACAGTGGAGGATATCAGGTCCCTTCCCAGGAAGCTTCTGGGGGAGAGAATTTTGGCTTCTGCTTTCAGTGTGTCACTGGCCTTAAAGGATTGCCCAGGCTCCGTAATGAGGGAGGGATTGCGCTTAATTAACTTGGAGAGAATCCCTTTGAAGTTTAGGGATCAAGCCTGGCTCGCTTTCCATGGAAGGCTCTATGTGAGAGGGAACCTGAAGCACCGCCCTGTGGATGATCGGGATTGTCCTAGAGAGCAGAGTGTGTTGGTAAAGTGGAGTCTATGGACCACTTTCTGCTCCAGTGTCCCTTTAACATAGAGGTGTATAAAAGGGTGGGGAGGGTTCTGGGCATCCCCTTTCTCTATCACATGAGTTATGCAGAGTGGGTGTACGGGGCATTCCCAGCTCGCTGGGACTTTGATTTGGATACACTTTTTCTAGTTAGTATAGTTGTTCGTTACTTCACATGGAATGCACGGTGTCAGATTACCCTGCGGAAGAAAGTCCTCCCTGTAGAGGTGGTGGTGCACGATATTCTGGGTGAGGTTGGGAAGATTCGGGGTCTTGAGAAGGGCAGGGAGCCTCGGGCGGTCTGGATAAGGGCGTGGAGGAATATCAGACCTGCCTTTGGTGAACTGTCCATCTCTGGGTGAGGGGGTCTTTCCTTATGCTGTTCTTTTCACTCCCGTAGTTTTTGTTGATTAAGATCTTTTTTGAAGAAGGGCTGCATGCATAAGGGGGGCGGGTGGTTTCTTGACCTCACAGGTTTGATGTCTGGTGTAGTGATGTGAGTGGTAGTACGATTTATTTCCCCAATTATGTCATGTTCATTTCTGAGACGTTTGCTTTTGTCTGACAGCAGATTTTGCTATGTTTATTTTCGTTTTGCTGTAAATATATATAATTTATTTTTTTATATTCTGTCTAATATTTTATGTTTATTGATTGCAAGACTTTTAATAAAGAAAAATTGGGAAGAATGCTCCTTACATTGGAGGTCAGTGGGAAGAATGCCCCTTACATTGGAGGTCAGTGGGAAGAATGCCCCTTACATTGGTGGTCAGTGGGAATAATGCCCCTTACATTGGTGGTCAGTGGGAAGAATGCCCCTTACATTGGGGGTCAGAGGGAAGAATGTTCCATACATTGGTGGTGAGAGGGAAGAATGCTCCTTACATTGGTGGTCAATAGGAAGAATGCTCCTTACATTGGCGGTCAGAAGGAAGAATGATTCTTACATTGGCGATCAGTGGGAAGAATGTCCCTTACATAGGTGGTCAGTGGGAAGAATGCTCCTTACTTTTGTGGTCAGTGGGAAGAATGCCCCTTACATTGGTGGTCAGTGAGAAGCATGACCTTTACATTGGGGGTCAGAGGGAAGAATGCTCCTTACTTGTGTGGTCAGTGGGAAGAATGCCCCTTACATTGGTGGTCAGAGGGAAGAATGCTCCTTACTTTTGTGGTCAGTGGGAAGAATGCCCCTTACATTGGTGGTCAGTGAGAAGAATGACCTTTACATTGGGGGTCACTGGGAAGAATGCTCCTTACATTGGTGGTCAGTGGGAAGAATGCTCCTTACATTGCTGGTCAGTGGGAAGAATGCTCCTTGCATTGGTGGTCAGTGGGATAACGCTCCCTACATTGGGGGTCAGTGGGAAGAATGTCCCTTACATTGGTGGTCAGAGGGAGAAGGAGAACACACTGAAGGAGCTCTCTTGGAGAACCAGCATTTTTTAAGCCTGGGCCTTGCCTACTAGATTGGCCCAGCAACCATGCCTGATCCTGGGGAAGGCACTGGCAGAGATCCCCCTGATGACACAGGGTCTAGTGAGGAGGATGTGGAGGACCTGACTTTGGGTCCAGTCCCTGGTGAGGATACGGATGTGTACAGACAGAGGATTATTGATCATTTTATGGCTGTTGGAAGAGTTAAGGAAAAACGTAAAGGTTTGAAAGCTGAACACAAATCCTTCACAGCCAAATGGCCATGAAGCCGGAGTTACAGCAAATGGAGGAAAAGGTAAAGAAGCAATCTTTATTATTGAAAAAGCTGAAAGCTAGAAGTAGGGCGTTTGCAGAAAAGTTTGACAATGAGAGATTTGCTAGCCAAACATCAGTAAGTTCTGTGGATCAGAAGCAACAGGTAATGGATGACCTGGCTGTATCTACCTCAGTGTCTCTCCCCCCATGTCAGGCTGTGGAGTTGTGAGCGGCAACCAGCCAAGGTGTTGAGAGTGAACCCTGACCTTCATCCAGCAGATAGAGTCACCACTGAGGGCAGACAGGTTTGCCTTTTCTGATGATCTGTCAGAAGTCCCCAAGTAGGGGCAGAGGAGGTATAGACCAGCAAGATCAGTACTGGTGGAGAAATCCCAGTATATCAAGATGGCTGCTTCCAACATTGCTGCCTCACCGGCTGTGGTGAGTACTGCTGATGAGAAGGAGCTCTGCAAACAACCTGCTGTGGAAGTTTCTGCTGTGGAGGAATCCTCTGTTGACATGAAGGGAAAACCCTTGACAGAGATGTCTCCAGACAATCGGGGGAAGTGCTCACTGTGCCAGGATTTAGGCCATTTGGCCAAAGAATGCACCCAGATTCGGTGTAATTTGTGCCAGCAGCTGGGTCATCCATATAGTCAGTGCCCAGAAGCACTACACACCCTGCCAGGATTGGAGGCTGAGCTGCAGAGGCTGGATAAAGAAGATGAGGCAGCTGATGCTAGGGAGGAAACTGTTGTTGCCACTCCTGTGTCTGTTCCATCTGTTGTGTTAGATCCTGAGTCTGTCCCTTCTGTTCCTAATACTACAGTACGTAGATCCTCTAGACTAGCGGAAGCTGCTGGGGGGGGCGGGTTTAGCTGATCTTCCCTCTCGGCCTACTCCATCTCTGGTACCTGTCCCACAACAGCGCAAACGTGGTCAGGAAGTTGTGGGGTTGCTGGATGGGGGTGGAGCTGATGGGGCTCAGGGAGGGGTGTCCATGTCCCATGTCTCACCTCCTGCTGAGGGGGATTCGGCTGATGAAGGGTGGGAGAGGGTGAAGGAGAAGAAAAAGAAGAGGAGGAGGATGAGAAGAACTGTCCTTTCTTCTTCAGAATCAGACCCAGAAGGGGTCCCTCTTGGCAATACTTTTTCAGTTTTGTCAGGTGATGAGATGGTATCTGATATCCATTTCTCTATCATCTATGGATGAGGGGGAGTCACATACTCTGAAGAGAGCTGTTTCGGGTGATGAGAGTGTGGTAGAGGTTAAGAAACGACTACCCCAATCATCCTGATGGCAGTTCCCACTCTGTTAAAGGTGGCGACCATTAATGTCACCAGCATTAAATCTGCAAGAGCTCGTGATACGGCCTTATTTTTGCTCTGCAAGTTTGATGCTGAGATTTTATTTTTGCAAGAGACCTGGCTCAATACATTGGCCAATGTCCATCTAGCAAAAAGGGAGTGGAGATGTGGTCCCTCCTTTTGGTCTCTTGCGGCTGAACCTTGCAGGGAGTTGCGGTCCTTTTTAAAACCGATATGGTAACGTGCCGGCGGGTAATTGAGGTAGAAATGGGGAGATGCATGGTCTTAGACGTCTCTGTTAGGAGGCAGGACCTGCGCCTGATCAATATCTATGGACCACAGTCAAATTAGGGCAGGAAATGCCTCCTCACAAAGATCAAGCCCTTCCTTTTCACTTCCCAGCAGGTTGTCTTTGGAGGTGACTTTAACACCATAATTAGGCCTGAAGACAGGAGAGGCTCCATAGACAAGCTGGGTTATGATGGCGTTTTTCTCAGAGATTTGGTTAGACAGGCAGGCCTGGTAGATGTGCACATTACTTCCATAGTTTTTTTTTAATCTTTTGTCTGATAGCATATTTTTGCTATATTTTAATTTTCTTTTTTTGTGTAAATATGTATATAATTATTTAATTGTGTATATTCTGTATATGGATTTTATGGTTATTGATTGCAAGACTTTTAATAAAGAAAAATTGGGAGGAATGCTCCTTAAATTGGGTCCAAAGTGCGCAGTATATTCTGTGATGAGGTTCGGAATGTATTCATTTATGTCCCTTTAGGCCATGTCCTTTATTAGGCACATCTATTATTTTTATAGAAAACGTCTGAAGTGTATGACCTTTATATCTTTTTTTTTTTGTTAACTTTTATTTGATTTTCCAATATACAAAAAAACAACTTGTTTACAAAAATAATTTACATATACCCATTCGATTATTCCCCCTAACACCCCATCCACATCCTCTTCCTGACTTACATCCTGTCTCATTCTACTTGTCTCTTTATCTCCAACATTGCTCTCCTTCAAGATCACAATTAAGATCCCCTCCTGGTTTCTAATTTTCTCCACCAATACCCACCACTTCCAAATATCTTTCAGAGGTTTTAAATTTCAACCAACTACACCACGTTTTCCTAAATGTTTCCATTTTATCTTCCTCTAGATGACATAACTCCTCCATCCTATAAATATTTTCAACTCTCTTTATCCATTCGTTAATTTTTGGTGCTTCAGGAACCTGCCAAAGCTTGGGAATCAGACTCTTAGCCGCACTAATTAGATGATAAAGTACCTTGTTATAAAACAAACTTCTCCAGGGATCTCTCTGTACAATTATCCCGCATATCTCCAGAGATGCCTGTAGCGAAAGAAAAGAAAATAGCGCAGGGCAGACATAACGAGGCCAAGAGGGGGTTGAAAAAGACAGGAAAGGGTGAGAGAAAAGTAAAAGGTGGGTTTTAGTTTAAGGCTAAGTAAGTACCTGATTGGTAACTGGGGGTGGAAGGTGGGGTCTCCTGCACCTTTGGGTGTGAATGGGAAGGGTTGTTCTGCAGTCCAGGAGCAGACAGTGGAGAGAGCGCTTCCCTCCCGCCCTCCCTTGGGGATAAGTGGGTGTTTTTTCACTCCAGGGGGGGGGGAGGGTTATTCTGGTTCTGGGGGTGGTTGTTAGTCTTTGGAGGCGGCACTTATTTTGAAGCTAAAGATAATGGTTTGGGACCCATCGGCGGCATGGTGTGCCCGGGGCTATTTATTATTATTATACAGGATTTATGGCGCCAACAGTTTGCTCAGCACTTTACAATATAACGGGAGACAATACAGCAACAATACAGTTCAATACAAGAGGGATAGGAGGGCCCTGATCCTGGGAGCTTACAATCTAGGAGGGAGGGGCTAGTGGTACAAAAGGTAGTAACTCTGGGGGATGGACTGGTTGGAAGAGTAGAAGATTCCATTATTAGCTGAGGGCAGGATAGGCTTCCCTGAAGAGAGAGGTTTTCAGAGATGGCTTAAAAGTGAGCAGAGTAGGTGATAGTCTGATAAATTGGGGTAGAGAGTTCCAGAGGCTGGGGAAGCTCTGAAGAAGTCCTGGAGACGAGCATGGGGAAGAGACAAGGGAGCTAGAGAGTAGGATGTCTTGCGAGGAGCAGAGAGTACGGTTTGGGTGATATTTAGAGACAAGATCGGTGATGTAATTTGGGGCAGAGTTATAAATGGCTTTATATGTTATTGTTAGTGTTTTGAATTTTATCCGTTGAGCAATGGGGAGCCAGTGGAGGGATTGGCAGAGAGGGGTGGAGGACACTGAATGGGGGCCAGTGGAGGGATTGGCAGAGAGGGGTGGAGGACACTGAATGGGGGCCAGTGGAGGGACTGGCAGAGAGGGGTGGAGGACACTGAGTGGAAGCCAGTGGAGGGATTGGCAGAGAGGGGTGGAGGACACTGAATGGAGGCCAGTGGAGTAATTGGCAGAGAGGGGTGGAGGACACTGAATGGGGGCCAGTGGAGGGATTGGCAGTGAGGGGTGGAGGACACTGAGTGGAAGCCAGTGGAGGGATTGGCAGAGAGGGGTGGAGGACACTGAATGGAGGCCAGTGGAGTAATTGGCAGAGAGGGGTGGAGGACACTGAATGGGGGCCAGTGGAGGGATTGGCAGTGAGGGGTGGAGGACACTGAGTGGAAGCCAGTGGAGGGATTGGCAGAGAGGGGTGGAGGACACTGAGTGGAAGCCAGTGGAGAGATTGGCAGAGAGGAGTGGCAGATACAGAACGGTTAGTAAGGTGGGTATTCCAGTTAACCAAGGTTTAACTTTAAGGTGGTGGTTCTGCACTGCGGATGGTATGTTTTGTCTCCGAGCCGGTGCGTTGCAGCTGGAGGCCTAGTTATAGTATTGGTTCCGCAGGTGGATACCGGTTCTGGTTTGGTGCCTTCGAAGACCAACAACTTGTCTTATATGTTTCTGTTTTAAGGAATGTTTTTGTGTATTGAAGTTGAAGTGTTAATAAAAGGCCGTGTTGGCCATTTTACTCCAATCGGTGTTATGTTTTCTTTAAGGATTGGTTATAGTGGGGGTATGTGAGAGAATGAGATGGTGGTGCAGGGGGTCTTGACAAGCATATCTCTTGTGCACTAGTCATGAATATAGTGAATTATTTCTCTCCAGTAATCCTGTATTTTTGGACAACCCCACCATATACTGTATGTGTCATTGTACCCCTTTCTCCACATCCTCATGGCATTTTATCTTCTGACCACACATCAATAACTGTTCCTAGATGAGGCATCAGGCTTTTCACAACATTGCAGCTGTGAGAAGTTGGCAATCCTGACTGGTGTCTCTAGTTACTTGTGTAGTGCTACCCCCTATGGAGTCGCTGAGTTTTCAGGTCCCCCTATAGCTGCACAGCCAGGCAACACACATTTTCCAACTTCCATTCAGAGTCAGTAACCAGTCCATGGGCTTTTTTTGTTGTTTTATTTGGGGTAAACAACTTGGATAGAGTCTAGGGGTATATGGGATGCCCAACTTGACTTGAAAACAGCAACTCTGAGGACACATTTCCTATTTTCTGTACAAACAAAAGGATGGATCCTGGACTCTACTCCCTCCAGAGTGGCTTCTGTCTCTTAGCAGATCCATTACAATGTCTCTTTAATGAGCATTAAGTCCCCTTGGATGAATATCTTCAGACCCCAGCTGGAAACTGCCCACCCAGCTGGCTGCCTTGAAGAGTATCCCAGAGCAAACGATTCCAGAACAGTCCTTAGCACTGTCCCAGGAAGAACTTGCTGAGTATTGCACCTGGAAGCCCTCCCTTGTAGACCCAGGGGGGGGGTGTAGAGGTATGTGCTCAGTCCCTTGTATCCTGCATATTTGCATAATACCGCTTTTTCAGGCCTTTTAGCTGTGCTAGTCTTCCATGCTGAACAGGATACCCCCTGGATAGGACTTCTGGTGCAGTTCCCTCTGTCAGAACACTTCCTTTCTTTCTTCCACCTCAATTCCAAGCCGGAGGCAGAGCCCCCCTTTCCTGGGGTCCCCTCCCAGGCTACACGACAGCAACACAGCAATCCATCTTCCACCAAACTCCCAGACTCCTGCTCTTGGCTAGGCTCTCCCATATTTATGGGCCTGTCTGCCACACTGCCAGACCTCCTGCCTGGGATTGGTCAGATTCCCACTAGCTTCTAGAATCTTCTGAAAGACTCCAGAACCAGGGGAAGGTACCAGAGACCTGACCTATAGAGCCCTCCAGCCCGACCTAAAGTTACTCCCACTAGCTTCTAGAATCTTCTAAAAGACTCCAGAACCAGGAGAAGGTACCAGAGACCTGACCTGTAGAGCCCTCCAGGCTGACCTAAAGTAACCCAATCGCACACGCTCACTTCACTGCTGTGAGCCAAACTACATTTTAATTCTCTAGCACCCCTAGAAGGCGCTACAGTTATATGAATGCTAAAAAATTTCTGATTGCTCAAGTAACCCCTAGTAAAGTCTGGAGGAACCTTTGAGATCCACAGAACCTTGGTTGGGAAAGGCTGGTGCATTTTTTTGGACATGTTCTTTTCTTAGCAACTCCCTGCAATATTTGAAGATTACAATGACCTTAGCTGACACAAAGTAGCAGAGTCGCTCCTAATTGGCTACGCTACGGAATCTATAAAGACTGATGTATACAGAATTCTTCAACTTTTTGGAAATATGGTGATTTTTTTTTTTTTTTTTTTTTAATCTAGGGTATGGATCCAAAAATTGTTGAGAAAATTGTCCAGGAAATGGCCGCCTTCTCGCCCAATATGGGTGAGATCGAAGGTGTCCCCATGCTACAGGACATATGTAAGGAGTGGGATGCGATCCACAGTTTCCAGGCTCGAGATGGTGACATAGTGGTGGCCTCGTACCCCAAATCAGGTGAGTAATGGCTCAGCAATTTAGCAGATTTTATAATCCAGGGGTATGACTACAAGCCACAGGGTCCTGAGGAAACGTCTTGAAACTTAAAGGGTAACTCCACTTTCGTGGAGGAAAAAAATAGCTAATAAAAATATACTATAGCATATACAATTGCTACACAAGTCAAAAATGAATGTTCTTAAAAATGACCATTCCTTTTCAATCTGCAGTGCTTTTAATTTTCTGTAAAATGCAATATGGCAACATGGAGGCGTTCTGTACACAAATGGAATATAGAACGCCCCCCCAGAGACTGTTATTTCCTGCATGTGTGATTGGCTCACTGATTTCCCAGAAGCCTGCAAAAGTCAGATTTTTGGGCATCCCCTACAACACAAATGTCATTTTTGTAAGATACTCCCAAAAGGAAATCACGTCTAAAGGGATGCAGACCCTGCCACTTTTCTCATTAGAACCTGCAAGTGCAACAGCTGATTGATAAGTATACAATCTCTCCCATTCACATTCATTTTGCACAGGGACACAGATAAACAACCAGCTATTTCTTCTTCTTATTATTATTATTATTACGTAGCAATTGTATCTGCTCTATTACTATTTTATTATTATTATTTTATTTTTGTAACAATTGTATCTGCTTTATTATTATTATTATTATTATTAATAATAATAATAATAATAATAATATTATCATGTAGCAATTGCATCTGCTCTATTACTACTATTTTATTTGTATTATTATTATTGTTATTATTTTATTTTTATAACAATTGTATCTGCTATATTATTATTATTTATTATTATATTTTATTTATTTTTTTTGTTATGCGTTTTTAGGTTTTTTTTTTTTCACAAAAGTGGAGTTACCCTTTATTTTAGTTTATGATTTTTTTTGGACTTTCTAAATAGACACCTCAGTTGTCTCCTTTCAGGTACTCTCTCTCCTCAATAAAACCATAGAGGGGGGAGCCATGTGATGGGAGAGGAGAAGAGTCAATGTTCATTCCTGTAATTTTAAATTTTCTATTTTTTTTTTTTTTTTGCTTCAAAAAGAGCATCAAACAGCAAAAAAAAACAAACACAAACACACTGCAACAGCATGGAAGGATTGTTATATATAGATATATTTTTTTTCCAAGCAAATTTCAGAGGCTAATTTTGGCAAAATTTTAGCCAAGGCAAAATTGGAAATGTTGTGGCTACAGCAACCCCCCCCCCCCCCCCCAAAAAAATAAAAAAAAATCAACTCTAAAAAGCCTAGCATCCAATGGTTTAATAGACTAATCTCAGAGGATAATACCTGCAAAGGCAACATACTTCAGATATGCATTATTGTCCCAGATGCCCAGTTAGCACTGTGAATCCTGTAAAGAATATCTGCAAGAAAAAAAATTTGAATTTTTAAGAAATATGCGCCGAATTAGGTAAAAATTAGTTTAACAATCCAAAGAAAAAAAGATTTATTCTGGTTTTATAATGGCTTTGTGTGGCCAGCAGGTACCACCTGGATGCAGGAGATCATGGACTTAATCCTTCAGGACGGGGACACGGAGAAGAGCCTGCGAGCGCCATGTTTCGTGAAAGTACCATTTCTGGAGATGGCGAAGACATGTAAGGGACAATAAAACCACAAAAACATCTTTAAAGGAAATATAAACTGAAAAAAAAATGAAACTATACAGCATAGTGACCAATCACTTTAAATCTCATTAAAGTCAATAAACTTTTCCACTAATTAACCACTTCCAGTCCGGACACTTTCACCCCCTTGCTGTCCAGGTCAATTTTCAGCTTTCTTTGAATGACAATTGCACGGTCATGCAACACTGTACCCATATGAATTTTTTTAGCGACAGATATTTTTTTGAGACAGATAAAACTTTATTTTGTTGGTATTTATTAACGACTGGGATTTTGTTTTGTTTTTTTGCTATATAAATGAAAAAGTCCAAACATTTTGAAAAAAGTGTTTTTCTTCTTATTATTATTATTATGCAGTATTTATATAGCGCCAAAGGGTTTACAATAGCGAGGGGGACAGAATATGAGACAAAACAGTAACAAAACAATACACGAGGGGTTCGAGGGCCCTGCTCTTTCGAGCTTACAATCTAGAAGATAAAATTTTGCAAATAAATAATCTTTCTTCATAAATCTTGGCCAAAATGTATTCAGCTATCTTTTTAGTAAAAAAAAAAACCCCAAAAACCCAAATTAGTTTATAACCAAAAATTATAATTTTTAAACTTTTTTTTTTTTTTACATTTTTTTTTTTTATATTATTATTTTTTTTTTTTTTAAACTGTTACCCTAGCAGTACAGTGTAACCATAGTGACACTGTACTACTTGTGGGGGGTGTTGAAGATTTATTTATTTTTACACTGATTGCTTTTACATCCATAAAGGCTATAAAAGCAATCATGTCTCCTTCTTAACCAAAAATTCTAATTTTTAAAAACTTTTTTTACATTATTTTAATTTTTTTATATTCTTATTTATGTTTTTTTTTTTTTTTTTAACATACTGTCACCCTAGCAGTACAATATCACCATAGTGATACTGTACTACTTGGAGAGGGGGGGGGGGGGGTGATGATGAAGATGTAAAGATTTATTTACAATTTTTTTTACACTGATTGCTTTTCCATCCATTACGGCTGTAAAAGCAATCATTTCTCCTTCTTAACCAAAAATTGTCACCATAGCACCAAAATAAAGTTTTATCTGTCTCCAGGTGCTGACCAACCATTTGGAAACTCGGGCACTGCCCGAGGGCCCGGGGTCAGTAGGGGGCCCCATGAGATGCCCCTGGTACCTTTTTCATAGGCTTTTTTGAGTTTGGGCAAGGACACAGGGGCCACATGATCCCCAATTGCCTGGGGGGCCCCATGAGTTGTCAGTCCGCCAAATGTTTCCAAATGGTCAGTCCGCCCCTGTTACTGACCACTGATGTCATCCGACCAGGGGCGGACTGACCATTTGGAAACTCGGGCACTGCCCGAGGGCCCGGGGTCAGTAGGGGGCCCCTTGAGATGCCCCTGGTACCTTTTTTTTTCTTCATAGGCTTTTTTGAGTTTGGGCAAGGACACAGGGGCCCCATGATAACCTATTCCCGGGGGGCCCTGTGAGTTGTCAGTCCGCCCCTGCATCCGACCTATTCACTTACATGGCCTAGACCGGAGGGGTTACATTATTGCCTAAATATGGTCAAATGGCCATATTTGGGCAATAATCTTGTCCAAATATGGTGATATATAGGCAGTTATGTCAGCACTATACCTGCCTCATCCCTTATATAGTCGTAGCTGTAATTCGTCTAAAGCAGGCATGTCCAAAGTCCGGCCCGCGGGCCATTTACGGCCCGGGGGTCGCTTTAATACGGCCCTCCAACAGCCCTCCCTGCTCTGTGTAATGTGGCCCTCCCTTCTATGGCAGACAGTCTTCTGCTTGAGAGCAGAGGGCAGTGCGCATGCCTGACTGCGGCGCGTTCTCCCTGGTCTGTGTAAATGCGGCTGTCGCACGGCCCTCCCTTCTGTGGCAGACAGTCTTCTGCTTGAGAGCAGTGCGCATGCGTGCCTGCGCCGCGCTGGGAGCGACAGAAGGCGGTGACGTCAGGGCCGGGCTTCCAGCGTGAAGTGTGTTTCTCTTCCCCTCCCGGCTGCCGAGCAGAGACTTCAGCTCCAGCTACCTTTTTCACCCTTCACATTAGTGCAGGTAAGTTTTTTTTTTTTTTTTAATTTATTTTCAATACATTGTGAAAACTCAGCTGTCAGTTGATCTTAATGTTATGAAATGAAAAGTATGTCGTTTGCAATTAACTTGGCATAAAATAATTTATTTACATTTAATTGTAATGGTTCAAAGAATGTTCGGAAAAATGTTCGGCCCCTCCACCATGTTCACTTCATCCAATCTGGCCCTCTTTGAAAAAAGTTTGGACACCCCTGGTCTAAAGGTACTTTCAGGAACTGTCACGCGGTTCGTCTGGTTGCGTCAGTATTCATGATCTATGATGGATTTTCAATGAGTGACTTTTTTGGGGGGATTTATGTTTTTCAATGAAGGACTTTCAAATGTTTAGGAGTCTTTATTCTAGGTTACATTTTTTGTTGTGAATGAGTACCCCCTACTCATTCATGTGGGGGGCAGTATCTGGGGCCCCCTCCCTATTATAAATGTTAGTATAATATAGCAGGTTTATGTGTCATCCTGGTGTTCTCCTTCAAAGTAACAACACACCCTCCATGTTTTATTCAGCTTTAGAGTTTGCGAACACCATGCCGCCTCCTCGTCTGCTTAAAATACATTTGCCGGTCCATCTCGTGCCGCCATCTTTTTGGGAGAAGAATACAAAGGTGAGAGAGAGCCAGGAAGAAATCGACACACTTTTTTTTTTCTAAAGCGACCCTACCCTACACAAATCAAGTATAATAAAGTCATATGTACACACAGGGGTGGACTGACAACTCATGGGGCCCCCGGGCAATAGGGGATCAAGGGGCCCCTGTGTCCTTGTCCAAGCTCAAAAAAGCCTATGAAAAAGGTACCGGGGGCATCTCATGGGGCCCCCGGGCAGTGTCCGAGTTTCCAAATGGTCAGTACACCCCTGTGCACACAGCATTTTATTAAAGCAGAGTTCCACTCACCTGTCAAAAAATAAAAATCAGCAGCTACAAAAACTGTAGATGCTGACTTTTAAAAAAACAGCCACTTACCTGTCCCTCGATCCCGTGGTGTGTCCCCCGCAGCTCGTTTCACCGGCCGTCCTGTATTCCAGGAGGCCGGCATCTTCAGTGTGGGCACCCGGCTGTGATAGCTTGCGGCTTCACAGCCGGGTACCCACTGCGCATGCATGAGTAGCTCTGCGCTTCATGAATGATCCTGTAGTCTTCTGGGACCTGTCACATGTCCCAAAAGACTACAGGGAGGGAGGACACCTTCTGTTTCCGATCGCCTAGGCCAGGGGTAGGCAACCTACGTCCATCTAGCTGTTGTGGAACTACATTTCCCATGAGGCATTGCAACATTATAAAACTGACAGGTACAGCTATGACTTGTAGAGGCATGATGGAACTTGTAGTCCTGCAACCGCTGGAGAGCCGCAGGTTGCCTACCCCTGGGCCCTAGGCAAGCAGAAGTGGGAGTGGGTACCTGTCAAATTCGGGTACCCGGTCCCCCCCCTTACTCCCAAAGGTGCCAATCCTTAATAGGGAGCAGGCAAGCCGTCCTTAAAGCGGAACTTCCCCTTTTGGGTGACCTCCGCTTTAAGGATGTTGAAATCCAGTAAGAAAATAAGAGAATGAAATGTTTTATAGAAAGCCTAGGTTGTCGTTATGTGGCATGAATAACCATGATGTCTCCTCCTCTGTCAGATTGTCTACGTGGCTAGGAATCCCAAGGACTGCATGGTCTCCTATTATTACTTCCACAAAATGGACCAAACAATGCCGGACCCCGGGCCCTGGGAACATTTCTTTGGTTTGTTCCTGTCTGGAAAAGGTGAGAGTGCCAAATAAATCTGAACAGCGCTAAGGCTCAGCAGTTAACTTTTTGGGTTTTGAAACGTTAAGGTCTTAGCCAGGGGCAGACTGACAACTCATGGGGCCCCTGTGCAATAGGGGATCATGGGGCCCCTGTGTCCTTGCCCAAACTCAAAAAAGCCTATGAAAAAGGTACCAGGGGCATCTCATGGGGCCCTCTACTGACCCCGGGCCCTCGGACAGTGCCCGTGTTTCCAAATGGTCAGTCCGCCCTGGTCTTAGCTTTAATTCACACCAGGCCTTTATCTATGTGTTTTCCTACCAATACAAACTAAATAGTAAGATATATGTAGTCCTGACGAAGTCACGAGATCACGTGACGCAACGCGTTGACGGCATAGCGTGGTGACGTACTTCCGGCGTGACGCCATCTTGGAACACCTTTTTCTTATGCTTTACACCCAGCACATGGAGAGAATGCCTTGATAACAGCTATACTATGTGAATGTGCATTTTGGCTTCCTTTTATTAGTTAATAAATCGGTTTTACACTATGAAGAATGTGTTTTCTTGTTCTATGGGGAATTGAGCTGTGATCTATCTGAGAACATCCATTTGATCTACATACCAACCGATCTCTCAATGGTGGATATTGATTCCAGGGAATTCGCTTAATCTATCAGGACTTAAGGAGTGCTTTTTACTGAGGGGATCCAGAGGTGATCCATATATGCTTTGTGGCCCTGAGGGTCGCAAGGTGGAGGTGAGGGGCCATTGCAGCCATTTTGGGATCACATTCGGGGTGTGGTGTTTCACCCACATTCCTCATCTTGCATGTTCAGAAGGAATACAGCACTGATTATTGGACTGTTCCATATTATGCCATTTGATATCATCTGTTTTCACACTGAGTATATTTGTTTGATCCCACTGTAGGGATTCACGTATTATTGGTTAGTGTCCCATATTGGGTACCAGGGGTCACATTTATAGGTATCCCCATGTGGATTGGGGGTCACCTTTTTTGATATATCATTCACTTTTAATGGTCCACCATTAGGACCTGATACGTGTGTGTTTTTTATCACTTTATGGTCACCGATTTATTATATTTTATTACTGTATGAGCGCTACATCATTTTATATTGCATTTATTTTTGTCACCTACTGGTATAGGATCAGATGTTAGCTGCTTTTTAGCATATATATTTTTAGATTTATACATAAGAGCGCAGGAGGATTCTCCGGGACGTTTTGTATTGAGAAAAATTTGTTTCCCATAGGAATGCATTGAAAAAGACCCCCACAGACTCCGGCATGCATGGGGGCGGCGCTATAAACCTCCCAGGTGCAATGCATCCTGTGGAAACTTGCTTTGTATTGCGAAAAAAAATCGTAAACCGAGGCATTATTGTCAATGGAAAATTACGTTAACCGTGGCATTCGTAAACCGTGGTACCACTGTACTGTTATCTTTGCCCAGTGCTTTTTGTGGAACACTTTGTTGTGGAGGTAAGAAGAGAAGGACATGTTCTGGATTCCTGCTCCAGGGTGACCTTGCTATATCTCCATCAGGGGTGGAACTGACAACTCATGGGCCCCCAGGCAATAGGGGATCATGGGGCTCATGTGTCCTTGTCCACACTCAAAACACACCCAAAAAAGCCTATAAAAGGTACCAGGGGCATTTCATGGGGCCCCCTACTGACCCCGGGCCCTGGGGCAGTGCCCGAGTAGTCAAATGGTCAGCCCGTCCTTGATCTCTGTAAATAGGTGAGTGAGAGTTGCCCCCCCCCCCCCCAGGACAGAAAGTGTTACAGGAACGATCATCAAAAATTTTGCATAAAAAGGAAATAAGTGTAGCCAACATTGTTTTCACCATTGTGTCTCTTTAGATGCACTTTTTTCTTGTTCAATAGTTTTTATGAAGTTTTGACAGGTAATGTTACATAGCAATGCATCTTGATAGACACTGGGACAATTTTTTTGTGGTTACATCTGGAGTTCGAATCGTTGAAAAGAATGTATTAGGCGCATACAGAAAATTCCACCAGTGAGAACTAAGTTTAGGCCAGAAGTGTCTGTTCCATATATCAACGTCCAATATAGCTAACATGAAAGAGCACATTATCTTGTTGTATTAAAATTCTGAAACCCAACTGAGAAGAAAGAGAAAGGAAAGTAAGACATGGAAAGGGGTATAAGACAGAGTAAAGGGGAGAAAAGAGGCGATCCACGCCAAGTAGGGATCAGTAAAAGGCGTAGTAGTAGGAGAGTTGGGCTGGGGGGCTGTTCCGCCTGGGCTTCCTCATGCGGAGTGATGCTTCTCAGCCAATGGTCCCCTTTTCCGGCAAGTCTTCCAGTGCTCTGCCAAAGCGGGTATTAGAGCTCAAAGACAATCCTTCCCTGATATCCCAAACCACGAGTCGGAACTTCGTGTAGGGTGACTGAATGAATCTTTATTGAACACAGCTCAGTATATACAGCACATCCTGGCAGTAATCCCTGCCCCCCTTCAGCCCACCCCCACCAGACAGTCTGGCACCCGGTTTTCCCCACCCACAACAAAACTCTACAACACAACAGCAGTCAGCACAGTATGAAATCTAGAGAAGTGAAAGACTACAAGTTCACATTACCCTAAACAAACCATGTAGAATGCCTATCTACAGAACAGCTGCTAAACATATACAGCTTTAAAAAGGGTAGAATGGGAAGACCACTTAACAAGGGGATAAAACCGGAACAGGGTAAAATGTTATCACAAAGGGACAGTTCGTCACAGGGGCATCCGAGTATTGGCGGTGCAGTAATGTGTGCTTGTTGTCCTAAATTTAATAGTCTCTGGTTGAAGTGTCTCTGGAGGAATGTTGTAATCCAGAGATTCCAGACCCAGAATTTGGGAATGGAGTTCTTGTAGGCAAGCTGTTAACTTTGAATTTATCCAGGTCCAATGTACTCTTGGTTTTACCTATGAGATGGGGATACATGGTGATAACCAAGCCTTGGCTACAACATGCTTGATGGCGGCTAGTATATGGGTCATAAGGACAAACATGGATTTGGAGAATCCTTCTGGTTTTCTATTTAGTAAGCTTCAGCCAGATCTAAAACTGGGATTGAGTCAAGAGGGTGTCGAGAGGTTGGTGCACTTGTGCCAGAATTGTTGGGCCACCGGGCATGACCACCAAATGTGATAAACGGTTCCAGGTTCTGGGAAACCTCAAAAGCAGGTGGTGGAGGAGGAGGTGGAGGTATGTGCAGGTCTACTGTCCATATGGTCCATACAATCCTTATGAGATGCACTTTTTATCTGTTATGGACACAACAGATTGAATAGTCTTTGAGGAGCATGAATTGATGTGAATAATTCTGCTGTATTATTGAATTAAACAAACATTCCTTCTATAAATTGATAAGCATACCCTAAATAATAAATAGGCATACTCATACCCTGGTCCTACTGCAAGCCGCCCCTGAGAAATCTCTAAAACATGGTGTATGTGAAGTGATTTGGAATCCCTAAGCAGAACCTGAGTCTATCTTCTGCTAAGCTTCTGCTAAGCTGTTATTACGCATGGCTCTACTGGTCAAAACTCAAAAGGAAAAGAATGTCTTTCATAGGGCTATGACCGTGTCCTCTCTGCTCTTAGTGTCCTGGGGAAGCTGGTTTGACCACGTCATTGGATGGTGGAAAGCCAAAGACAGACATCAGATCCTGTATATCTTCTATGAAGACATGATAGAGGTGAGTGACACATGACCCAGCGAGTGTCCATGTCTAGTCTAATGTTGATCTTTGTTTTATCCAATACTGCTATTTTTGGGGCAGGATCCACAAAGGGAGATCCGAAAAGTCATGACTTTTTTGGAGAAGAATCTTCCTGATGAGGTTCTGCAGAAAATTGTGCAACGCACCTCATTCAAGTCAATGAAGAAGAACCCCATGGTGAATTTCACTGTCCTCCCTACTTCAGTGTTTGACCAGACTGTTTCATCCTTCATGAGGAAAGGTACCAGACTACCCTCCTGGGGGGTTGTTTAATACACAAGGCAGTTGTCCTTGATCTTCTAGGAAAGGGGGTCTCCAACCAACTCGTCATTGTAGAACAGCCTTCCTAAATCCTTTTTAACATAGAAGAACCGTGAAAGTAACTTTCTGGTCTCAGAGAACCCCTGCTAATACTTTTACTATTTCTATTACTATATCAACAGCTCACTGTACCTTAGAGGGATGGTCAGTGAGAAGATGGAAGGCGGAAGAAATCCCCCTCCAATAGATAACTAAAATACCACAGCTGTAATCTTCTCTGTCAAAAACTATCCAAAAAAGAAGAGTTTTGTCTTACTGAATACTTTTGAACCATTTTATTTAATAAACCCTTCTGGCTATTCTTATAGGTCAGGTCAGCGACTGGAAGAACCATTTCTTGGTGTCCCAGAACATTCTGTTCGATGAGGAATATAAGAAAAGAATGGCGTGCAGCGGGCTGAGATTCCGCATGGATCTGTGAACTCAAACCATACATCACATATTGGATTCATATATGTAGTGAGAACGGGGGAAGAACCCGTCCGCCATTTTGTGCTATAGCCTCTTGTGGTCCCTGTACAGCTAGCTTAAGGTGTAACTAAAGGCAAAACTTTTTTTTTTCCTTTGTTTTGGATGGAATGGAGAAAAATTTGAACCCCTGCTAGGTTCACCCTGCCTATTTGTCCTGTTTGCCGTTATCACCAAGAGTGAATGAAATGAAAAAATAAATTTTTGGTTGGTCCTAGACAGGGCTTTTTTTCCTCAGAGAATTGGTGCAGGAACTCACCACCATTTCAGTCACCTATTATTTCCGCTCCCTAACCACCTCCAAGCACCGTCCATTGGTTCCACCTCCAAGCACCGTCCATTGGTTCCACCTCCAAGCACCGTCCATTGGTTCCACCTCCAAGCACCGTCCATTGGTTCCACCTCCTAGCAACCGTCCATTGGTTCCACCTCCTAGCAACCGTCCATTGGTTCCACCTACAAGCACCATCCATTGGTTCCACCTCCAAGCACCGTCCATTGGTTCCACCTCCAAGCACCGTCCATTGGTTCCACCTCCAAGCACCGTCCATTGGTTCCACCTCCTAGCAACCGTCCATTGGTTCCACCTCCTAGCAACCGTCCATTGGTTCCACCTCCTCCCCTCCTCCCAGTACCTCCCCTTTTAGAGAATACAGAACCAAGTACTTTGTATGTAATGTGCTAATTATAATAGGAAAAGCAGTAAAATACAGTAGATCCCAGGGGCGGACTGACCATTTGGAGACTCGGGCACTGCCCGAGGGCCCGGGGTCAGTAGGGGTCCCCATGAGATGCCCCTGGTACCTTTTTCATAGGCTTTTTTAAGTTTTGGCAAGGACACAGGGGCCCCATGATCCCCAATTGCCCGGGGCCCCCAGGAGTTGTCAGTCCGCCCCTGGTAGATCCCCTACAGCCAGCAACAATTGACACAATAAACCCCTAACCCCCCCAGCAACAATGGACCCCCCCACAACAAAATACCACCCAAATAATTATATCCCCCCAGCAGCAACAAGAGATCTCACAACACCCAGCATCAATAGGCCCTCCATGAACAATAGACTCCTCCTTTTATCCCTTTATGGTTGAACTGGATGGACTTTTGGCTTTTTTTTCAGCCAGACTACCTATGTAAAAGGAGGTCCCTCCTAGCAACAACTGACCCCCCCCAGCAACATAACACCCCCCCCCAAAAAAAATAGACCCCTATGCAAAAATTGCCATTCGTGACAATTGACCCCCCAGAAACATAACATTCCCCCCCAACAAAAATAGACCCCCATGCAAAATAGATTGCCATTAGTGACGACAGATCCCCCAGCAGCCAGCAACAATAGACCCTCCAGCACACCCCAGCACCCCTTGCCATTACATATATTCAGTGCCTGAGGTGCTGGAACTGCATTCCCCCGCGTTCCAGCTGAAAAAAAAAGCCCTGGTCCTAGAACAGGAATAGCAGTAAAATCTTCCTATGGGGACACTAGATCTGGTGACAATCGGGGATTCCCTTCCCACTTTTAAGTAATTTCCTCTCATTTCCTGATTTGGCTATTGGACAGGAAATGAAGGGAAATCTCCCCAATGGGATACAGATGGCAAAAAAAAAACCTGATCTCCCATATTCTATCAAAATATTAAATATTTTTTTAAAAAATTAAAAAGAAAACAAGTTTTACCTTCAGCTCTAATTTAAAGGATAACTCCACTTTCATGAGAAAAAAAAATTAGCAAATTCAAAAAAATAATATACTGTATACAATTGCGACACAAGTCATATTGTAATTGAATGGTGTTAAAAATGACCTTTCCTTTTCAATCTGCATCGGTGTAATTTTCTGTAAAATGGAATGCAATATGGCCACCTGGAGGTGTTCATTTCCTGCTTGTGTGTGATTGGCTCCCTGATTTTCCCAAAAGTCTTCACTAAGTCAGATTTTTGGCATCCCCTGCAGCACCAATGTTATTTTTGGAGAGATACTCCGAAAGGGAAACCACATCTATGCGGCCGTGTGGGTGCGTTTTGCACGGACACGAGAGCCCATTCATTTGAATGGACTCCCGCGCTCCGTGACACGCAGGGAAAGAAGTCCCTGCACTCGGTTCCCAGTACAATTGCGTTTTCCAGTGCGGGCGGCGTACCATTAGAACTAATGGCACCCGCCCACGGGTCCGCATTTCTCTGTGCGGTTGCACGGATTTTTGTGCGGATCCGCATCGGCACCACCTGCACAGATGTGAACCTAGGGACAAGGGATGCAGACCCTGCCACTTTCCTCATTGGAGCCCTGCAGGTGCAGCAGCTGATTGATAATTATAAAACCACTCCCATTAGAGTCAGTTGCGCATGGACACAGCCAGACAAACAGCTATTTCTTCAGAATAACAAAAGGTAGGAATCTGCAACAAAGTTTGTTAAATTCTCTGCAATGTACATAGATCACCCAGAAGGGGAATTAATTTTTTCTCAACAAAAGAAGAGTTTTTTTTAAAGGCTGTGAACATACCAGATTATCAACATTAATGGACCTTTTTAAGTGTTTTTGATCTTTTGCACTGACCAAAGATTTATCAAGGTTTAAAGAATATGTAATCCCAGCATTTCCTATTCCTGATCTGTGCCGGCTGTCCCATGTACTTGTATTAAAAAGTCCCTTGTTCTCTTTGTATTGCTTCCTTTATGTGAAATCTCTGGTGTTCCTTCTGCTTTCCTATTAAAACTGACTACACTAGGCATGAAAGCACAGCGTGTGGTCAGTTCTCTAGCTGTGCTGGGAACCAGGGGCGAACTGACAACTCATGGGGCCCCCGGGCAATACGGGATCATGGGGCCCCTGTGTCCTTGCCCACACTCAAAAAAGGCTATAAAAAAGGTACCAGGGGTATTTCATGGGGCCCCCTACTGACCCCGGGACCTCGAATGGTCAGTCCACCCCTGCTGGGAACTTAGCTTGCTCTCTCTCTCTCTGGGTATGTGATCGTTTATATAAAAGGTGGAAAAAAGGGTGTATATAATGTTTTTTATATCTATACACCAATGTTTTGCCTTTCATTTCTGTTTTGGACTGAATGGGTTGTTTTACAAGGTTAGGGTTTACAATCACTTTCAGGTAGCGAGAGACATGAGTTCATTTCCAGCTAGAACCAGGGGCGGACTGGCCATTTGGGAACTCGGGCACTGCCCGAGGGTCCAGGGTCAGTAGGGGCCACATGAGATGCCCCTGGCATAGGCTTTTTTTTTGGGTGTGATTTAAGTGTGGGTGAGGACACAGGGGCCCCATGATCCCCTATTGCCTGGGGGCCCCATGAGTTGTCAATTTGCCCCTGGCTAGAACCAAACATTTTAAGGTGCTGAGTTGACAGTCTGCTAATGCAGGCCATACATGGGTCGAATTCCCAATGATTTTTCGTCCGAAAATCGAAAACGTCGCTCACTCGGTAATCTGATGGTGCCATTGATTATTTTAAAAATCGGCCGACCAAGTCATAAAGTTCACCCCATATAGCAGGCAAAACTTCTGTTCCTTCCAGGTCATGGCTCATGCGCATATTCTTTTCGGAAAAACCATCGTAGGATTGACCATCATTGAGTCGAAAATCGGTAATTTTTCACAAATTTTTCAACATGCCCGACCACCGAAAAGGGGAGGAACCAAGAAAATCGGTCGGTGCCATTGACCCCACTAACAGAGTGAAAATCGGCTGATTATTCTTAGTTCCAACCAGAGGCGGACTGACCATTTGTAAACTCTGGCACTGCTCGAGGGCCCAGGGTCAGTAGGGGGCCCCATGAGATGCCCCTGGTACCTTTTTCATAGGCTTTTTTGAGTTTGGGCAAGGATACAGGGGCCCCATGATCCCCTATTGCCCGAGGGCCCCATGAGTTGTCAGTCCACCCCTAGGTCCTACTTTCAGATGAAAAATTGGTCGAATTTAGACCCATGTATGGCCGGCATAAGTTATCTCAAATTATTTTTGTGTCTCTGATTCATAATTATTGGCTGCAGTGATTTCAATAAAGGTTCATTTTAGATCAGATTAATGTATCTTAATTGTTCTTTTAAAGTTTTTTTTTGTTTTCTTTCATATAATCTTTAATATATTAAATATAGTGTTCCCACGCAACTGTTTAACCACTTCCTGTCCGGCCCATGTATATAAACAGAGCAGTGCAGGGGCGAATGGCCTTTATAAACGTCCTCCCCTGCTTGTGAGCGCTCCCTGGGAGCGCTCCCGTTGTACGGGTCCTCTGTCTGAGGTCCCGATCATGTGATCACTGATTGGCCAATCAGTGATCACATGAATAGTAGTAAGCAAGATGTCATTTGCTGACATTATTTCTTACTACTAGTAAAATCTGTGAATGGTCACAGAGGTCACATGGTACAGGGCTATTCACAACAGCCTTGTACCATGTGACAAGCTGTGGCCAATCACAGCTCTCACAGTATTTCTCAATGGCTGTAGGAAGGAGAAATGATTGCTTTTACAGCTTTTATGGGTGTAAAAGCAATCAGTGTAAAAAAAAAAAAAAAAAAAAAAAAATCATCACCCCCCACAAGTAGTATAGCCCTTGAAGGTGTGGATTGGGAAGCATAATGGATCAGACTCCGATCCATTATGCTCAATCCGCAGATCCGATCCATCCTGCGGGGATCGTCGGCTTGCTTTAAAACTTACCTTTTCGCGCAGCGGGTCCGGTGTCACCCCGTGCGGTAGGTGTCACCCCGTGCGGCGCACACCCCCCGCACCTGCCTAGGGACGCCCCTGATTTGGGGTACCATAGTTTTTCACCATTTCAGGGGCAGGCACAAATTTTGAGGTTTGACATGTTTGGTATCTATTTACCCAATGTAGCCTCATCTTTTAGATTTCACAAAAAAAAAATGTGGGAATCATGTTGTGCTGGTGTGGACTAAAAATATTTTGAGTGTATTTTTATTGTATTGCTGAACA